AAGAGGCGGACCCTGGATGGGCGCCTGTATAATCATAAGATCAGCTTTCTGACTAAAAAAATATCCAAATGTAGCATACCCAGCGTAGGCAATACAACAAGGAAAGAGCGGAATAAAGGGGCAGAGAAATATCCTTGAAACGTTGTTGTATTAGGATCAGAAACATGACAACCATGCATCAAAGGGCTTTCTGGCCCCTCACTAGTCCAATGTTGGCCTGATCTTGATGTTGAATTATCCGAATACTAGTCTCATATAGGCTCAGGGTCGACAAGTCTACCATCAACCCCAGGTGACACACCTGCTGTTGGCATTCCCGCGGCATGCATCATCTCAGTGGGTTGGGGGATGTAAAATCGCGTCCTTGTACGTCCCGCACTATGTCCGTGACGGACATGTGCAGTAATACATCATGCCATTCTTGGACACCGTACGGAGCGATTGGAGCTGGCCCTTGGGGCCGTTTTGGAGGCGGCGTTGCGCGTGCAGCTAGATGGGGCTTGCGAAACGGCTGGCACACACACGATGGTGGTGACTTGCAGCGATGCACTTAAGTATGGCTGTGACAGTGCGGCTGCCAAGGCGCTAAGATGATGGCGAAGTTGAAGGGGCGTGGTAGTGCCACTCGCATGGCCGCGACTTGTCATGTCATGCATGGACTTTGCATGCTCAGGTGAACCTGCTATGGCCCCAAGGAATGTCAGAGTCTATGGCTTGACAGAAGGCTAGGCGTGGTGCTGTATTTGAAGGCCTGCTCAACGATGAAGGGCGTGATCAAGGTGCTGGCGCTAGTTGCGGAGGCATGGGGAAGCAGGCGAGGGCAGAGTCAAGCGATCATAGGCGGCAGAAAGCTTGGAGCATGCACGATCAGAGGAAAAATGGCAAGGTCAAAGTTGGAGGAAGGCGTTGGAGGCGAGGACGTAGCTAAAGTCGGTGCGGAGCAGGCGGAGGTGACGGTGGTCGCAGGGGAGGTGCAGAGAGGCTACATGGTGATTGAGGATAGTGCCAACGAGGCTGACCTACTTGTGTACGATGACATGGAGACCGTCATGGCCCCCAACGTTGATGCAGATGGGCATGCGGAGAACGGTGGGGATGACTAGGCGATAATACCTAAGATTGTTTGAGGTACTGCTGTTTATGATAAAGTGTAAATCAATACCTAAAAGTAAGGATATGGTGATGATTGACAGCCGAGTAACTTGGCCTTGGTTATGATGATTGAAATGACGTGCCAATTCGAATGTTGAATCAGGCTGGGTGAGCCGTATGTCAAAATGATGAGTAGCGAATAAGAATACCAGGAAGAGAGTGAGCGATGATAGTAAGGGGAGCGTAAGTAAGCTGTTGATTTGGCCCTGATTGGGTGATGGTGGCATGATCTGGTCCTGGGCGCTGGATGGCAGAATTGAGGGTGGTACTGTATGGTCATTGATGGGGCAGGCTTGGAAAGGACTTGGGGATCAGAGAATGATCCCGAATATTTGGGAATTGGTTATGGAATCTCCTAGGAGGGGGTGGGGGAGCCTGCGGGCTATAAATAGCAGGGTAGGACCTATTTGGAAAAGCAGCTCGACCCGACCAGCTCCTGAGCCAATAGGCAAGGGAACTAGGAAACAGGAACTAGATCTAGGACCTTATAAGTGGTAAGCCAGGTTGTCATTCGTGGAGGACCACTCTGTAATTATATTTCGGTTCAGTTTAATGAGTGTCTGACTTAAGGGTTGGCAGTGAATGACAGTTGGTCTATTGGGAAAACGTGCAGGTCCCCAAACCAGCTGTAAGTTCTGCCCATTCCCGAGGCTTGGAACTACTGGGAAAAACCTATGGGGTCCCAGGTCAAGCCCAGAACTTTGTGGGGAAGCCTTTTGGCTTCCCACTAAAGTATTGAAGTAAAAGACCAAAGTATTGAGCTCAGAAGCATACAAAGCTAGTGCAACGCTCAGCGTATAACCAACAAGAGTGATAGGAGGCGCAGGTCTACTGGGCATAAAGAGAATGGTGTTTCTCTAGGTCCGAAGGGACCAAAAGGTAAGTTGACATTGAAAAGGCGATTGAACTTTGGTCTAATTCTTTGTAAACATCTTCAGATACTTGTTAGGGTACTGCCTCAGTGAGGTCCAGTATAGAGTAAACAGGCGGGAACCATAATCAAACAAAATCATTGCAGGAATTACCGTTATACACATCCCATCTCTTCTTCCATTAAGCATGCACAACGCATGTCCTAAAGCATGAGTCATTCTGAAGAGACTCCTAAAGAGTTGAACAATGGTACTAGCATTCAAACGCCTGTTCCCAAAACCAATACATCTGAGTGCCCTGCAGCTCCTCTGAAGATTAATCAACAGAAAAATACATAGGAGACTCAGAGGCAATCTCTAAGAAAGGGTCAAGCTCGTCAGCTGCGAAAAAGTTGGAAAGAGCTGTCCGAGAAAGTCTTTGAAAGTTGAAACACATAAGGACTTAAGAAACGAAGAGGAATCATAATAAACTGGACATCAAAATATACTCTGGTGATGTGTTGGTGTCTATAGATTGTGTACGTAGTCAAGGCAACTATCTAAAGGAGTGGCTGGATTTGTCCATCAAATCCGACCCGTTGCTTAAGCTCTGGAAGATTGTTAGTGATTTATCCTTAACTTTAATCTGTATACAACTGTGTGCATTTGGTCCAGTATTAACCGCAAGGTTGTCTTGGAGGATATACGATCTGTGCCAGCGTATACTACGGTCTTTTATACATGGCGAATCTTTGCAGCTGGCTGGCCTGGCCAGGGAATTGGCGCGCATAAAACGACAACTGAGCTTCTGTGGAACTCAGAGAGAAAAGAGAGAAATAGGCGTGCACAGGGTCGAGAGGAACACGGTCAGACCCTTGGGCAGTCCCCCTCGATTTGTAGGGTAGTTGCTGGGTCCGCCTATAACCCCGCTCATTTTCAGTCAATTTGTGCCGCTTTCGTTGGCCTAATTATGGGCTGTACGTTGTCCATCAGTTGCTTGTGCCTGGGAATTTGGGTTGGGCCTAACTGGTAAAGGGAATCCTTTGATCCTGGCCGTGACTCATCAGCTGTACAAGGCAGTCACAAAAATGGCCATAGAACAGTTTGAAATGCCCCCCCTTTCGGAACAACATCTTTTGATTCCCTGGCATCTTTCTGCCACACTGCCGTGTCACCCCGATTCACACCGATGCGCCCCACTTCCCGGCCATGTAATGCCCTACGGGCCATATTCCCATCAAACAACACATGGCGCCTCCATGCTCCCCTCCTGACCCCGTCTCACCACATCCTATGGCAGGTCGCACAGGCCCCCCCCCCCAATCCAAAACGGCACCATTGCACATAAAATGCCATATCTTGTTCATTAAGGATCTGTTCGAGGTGAAATCTTTTGCAAATGATTTCTTCAAAACACCTCTACATAACTTGGGATAGCAACAGCCTGTTGCAAGTTTAATTTGCAACTGATTGATCCTTTCAAATCCAGATTCGATCAACTTTCACAAGTCCATTTTTCTGACTGATGGCACCCAGCCTTCCATGACAAACCATCTTGCTCTGAGCTATGGGCACACTTCTGGGCAGCTTGCATGCCACAGGGCGCCAGAATTCTCCAACACCTTGCCAGGATGACAAATCCAGCTGCAGTACATTTGCATGCCATGCGCATCAGCCCTGCAACCTCCCGTTCCGCGCATCCACGGCACCCGTGCTCGCTCGAGCTCACGGTGCTCCGCCACACAGCCGACCACGCAGGTTGAAAGGCCTGCCCGTTTTCCAGAAAACCTCCAGCAGCTTCGACCTCGATACGTCTCAATCGGCGATTCGGCCGTGTGTCTGCCATCCCCCATCGGGAGCACCATGGCCAGCCACGGCCGTCCCGGCTCGATCAACGGGCATTGCTCGGAAAAAAACAACGCAGTCCAACTCGCCAAACCTTTCTGCATTCAATGCGCCCGGTCGCGCACAGCTGTACCCCTTGCCAAAGCAAGCGCATGTGCGCAACAGCAACCTGCGTGCTTCTCAGTACTTCAGGGTGCTTTCCAAACGTGTTTGACACCGGTGTTCCTATGTGACGCGCGCTGCCGCGTACTGGAGCTATGCCCGGCATCACAAGTTGCGATTCACAACTGCATGGCTTTGGGTTCTTTAGGCATATAGTGAGGCTGCCATGGTCTCTCTTTGTCACGGAAGTCATCTCCTTGCATTCTGAGTGTCTTGCGCTTGGATTACTAGAAAATTCTGGAGCACCCTTGATTGACGTTTGGGGTTTTTCTGCCGCATTGAGCGCCAACCTGCTGGATGATAATCAGTGTGACGAAGGTGCTGAGGTTGCCGACATTCCACCCAGAGAGCTCTGATCTTTTGTTCAAATTCTGGGGCGTGTAGGTGCAGTCCCTCTGACAGAAATTCGGGGGAGCGAGTGAACCGCGTTTGTCTTCAAATGGGCACCCAAGTGCTTACTTTGTGCGGGCAGGGCAGAGGCCGACGGGAACCTCAGGTGCCCTGTCGTGCGTGGATTTGGCGATTTTGCCCTATTCGGTGGAGGAAAGGACAGCGAACAGAACACAGAGCTGAAGGCTAGAGTTCCAGACTTTGAGCGCAGTCTTGTGATACATTCGCCCACCCAGCGCATCTATTTCCCAACCCTGACGTGCCGATTCCCAGCAGAAGAACTCATTCAATCGTATGCCCCACCAAGTCGATACCAGGTCAGCGCAAACGTCCATTACCCAATCGAGGCAGACCATTTGGTGCAGGTTCAGGTTCGTGATGAAAACATGCCAAACTTGGCATAAAATGATATCTCGTGAACGGAACACTTCACACCTGCCTCAGTCCTCCACAACAAGGGCAAGCCAGCACCTGAGGACATGCAACGAGCTGAGGCCGTCTGACGCCACCCAGAATTGCCTCCAATCTGCAATGGTGGTGCCTCGTTATATTATGTAATCAACTGCAGTCGGCAAAAACGAATTTCGATCCTCTCCACACCTACGTGCCGGCCACTTCCTCCTTGTCCCGTTTCTTTCTCTTCTTCACTTTTGTCTTCTTCTCCTCCGCCTCCGCCTCCTTTGTCTTCTCCTGTACCTTCATCTCCTTCATCATCATCATCGTCTTCTTCTTCTTCTTCTTCTTCTTTATCTTTTTCTCCTTTACCTTGTGCTCCTCTGTCTTCTCTTGTTTTTTCTTCTGCTTTTGCTTCAGCTTCACATCGACCCCCACACTATTACTGGTGTCCGCTTTGATCGTCGACAAATTTGACGTCCCGTTCAACGACGCCTTGTTACTGCTGCCGCCGTCATTCGGCGCACCATCTTCCCTTCCTTTCTTTTTCTTTTTCTTCTTCTTTTTCTTTGAGCCGTCAACCCCTTCCTCTGGCTGTCTGCCCCCTCTATCCAGCAGGTCGTTGAGCTTCAAGTCAAGGCCTGCGAGATCGGGGGTAAAAGAGCAAAAGCCACTCAGCACCGCACATTTTCGAGATTAAACGATGTGGCTGCCGCATTGCGGCCGCATTGGGCGCTCTGCGAAGAACGGGCAGGAACAGCCACAGAACGCAACAAAAGCCATGTTAGACAAGTGCACTGCTCGGGCGGCAGTTCGGCAACGCAAACAAGACAGCAAGATATGCCTAACAAATAGAGAAGAGAAAGCAAACAGAAAGAAGACGATTTCCTGCACATGGTGATACGACAAAGATTTGCACGTCACCGTCCGTGCCACACCCCCAGTACACGACCCATCAAAAGGTATCATAGCCACGTCCAGGGCCGGTCATGAAGCGAGTAAATAGGCAAGTAAACTTATGGTGACTGTACGTACAAAATCACGACAAGCTCTGATAAAGTGATCATGTGAATGTCGACAGTTGATTGTGGCCAACTGTCTTTGATGTGCCAGGCATGCCACAATATTGCACATACAAATACACAAAACAAAGCGGACGGCAGCTCAGGGGGTGCAAACCCTGCCACCACCCACCTGCCAGCTGCGGCGCTTGGCTGCCTGATTCCTCTCGCGAGTCCACCTCATTGTGCTGCTTCTTGTGTCGCTTTCCTGTTTCGTGTCCAGTATCGTCAAGTAAACGAAAACGACAAAAAGAACTGCAAAGCTCAAGAAACGCAGCAACAGAATGCACAGCGAGAGTCCACCTTCATGGACGCACGATTTCATGACACAATGCTCCCTTTAGATATCGAGTCTCCAAGCAACCCACAGCAAATCCTTGTAAAAGGCAAAAGTTCTAAGGGATTGGAGAACCGTCACACCTGCACTCCCGGGGCGTCCTCGGGTTTCGCTGGAAGGCTTTCGATGGGCATGGACATGTTTTAGCCTTCGAATTTCGTGGACAACATTATAGTGTCTCACAAGCATTTTTGATCGAGGACTCAAAACCCTTCTGGGCAATGAACTACAGTTTTTGTCGTCCCCCTTTTTCGGGGTTTGTGGCCAGCCGCACTTTCAGTGGCGAAACGGCAACGAATCCAGTGGTCATTCCACGATCATATTCAATAGTAAGTAAGAACACTGTCAAATGGGAGTTTCTTGTGCCAGTGTTCGGCAGTGGGGCGCTGTAGCAAAACGGTGATCAGCAATTCATGAGTATCCGCTTATGTTCGCCATCAGCTTTCAACTCCATGCATGTGCCTGGGCTCGCTTTACAAGTAAACACAGGGACCACAATGAGTGGCTGTTGCCCCAGGCCGCCTAATGCATCAAAATGCACTTGTGAGCCAACGGTGACTGAAATGATGTTTCACAGATTCTGTGTGGAGCCACATCACATTCCAGCGGCAAATCGCACATTGATTCATCAGTGTATCTAAAAGAGCAATATTGAGTATAGGCATATCCAGACCCTCGGCTTCTCCAGTACAGATGTCTGGGTGCCAGTACAGGGAAGAAGACAGATTGCTTCTGAATGGAGAACAAAATGGACAACAGGACAATGATCCAACAAAAATGTGCCAGCTGACCTGGTGGTGTCTCTGTGGCTTGTGAGAAAGCCCCATTGGCAAACTCCGGTGCCTCTTTCTTCACCTCCACAGATGTATGAAGTGGTTGGCTTGTGGGGCCATCTGGGATAACAACATATTAATGGATCAGGCATCCATCTCAACTTGTGCAAGTGGCAGGCAACGAACAATCACAGGCACCTAAAACTGTCACAGCTAACTCGACGAAGCCGCTCATTGCCTCAGAAGTGCAAGTGCCTTGCATTTCATGTATTTCTGATGAATGCAGTCAAAAGAGTTCACACCTGCTCAACAAATGAAAGCAAAAAAAACACATCCAACAACAACTGATGATGGTATTGGAAACTCAATTCATATGTGGCAAGCTGGCTTCAAAAGATAACACAATGCCCTTGTACCTTGCAAGCGATGACAGCCAGGAAACGTAGGGCATAACAATGTCCATGACAACATCAACTCGTTCCGCCATTTCTTGCCGATTGTGTCGCTCTGTGCTGCGTACACATTCTATCACAACTAGAAACTTCTGCGCCAACTCTTAGCACACGGAAGGAGTCTGACACGCATTCCTGCTCAACAGGGGCTTCCCCATTGGCCTAGTCCACCACTGTTTCCGCAGAGAGAGTGTCCTTGGCACGGCCATTGTTGGCACATTATGTACAGAGGTGGTTGTGATCCTGGGGCATCCAACAAACACTAATCGCATGTTGCTGTGTCCATATTCGCCACTCTGGTGCCAGATGCTTGTTTACCGTGTCCACTCAACCAGTCTAATCCCCCGAATGAATATCACGGAGTACATTGATGATCAATGCCACCACAATAGCATTACTCGCCTGATAACACCAGCGTTTGGGCGGCTAAGCCAGTTGGCAGATCTTCTTTCTCGACTTTAACCTTTACTTGAATTGCACTCCAGCCATTCTGCTCCCCTAGTTCTCAAAGAAAACAAGATAACAGGTCAATGTGAACCCATCTTTTACGTTGTTGCAATGATCGACTGCCCCAAACAGCATACCAGTCGCCATCCGCCACCTATTTACATATTATGCAGAAATTCCACATTTGAATTGTGAATATCATCGTTTATTGCATTTGGTAGCAATGAATGGCTGCGATGACACCAAAACTAAATATTCCACTGTTTTGAGCATTTCTGAATGGTGTGGTCAGCAAAGGGAACAGCGTTCAACTCGTGTGAGGCTCTTGGCAAACTTGCAATTCGTTTTGCAGCGACAAATATGGTGGCCTGCTCCCTCCGCCTTGCACACACGATGTGCACCTTGTGCACCAATGAGACAGAAAATGCACCGACACACACAACTAAGAAGGGACTCTTGGGAGCCTTCCTCAACAGTAGCTCTCACCTGGCCCTCTCGGGCCCCAAGGGCAGGGTGTTCCCCTCACAACGATTGGAGTGGTTCCCTTGGACATGCTGCCAACGGATGACTGCAAAGACATCTTGGCGTCTCTCAGCTCGTCAGAATCCCCCTCCCTCTTTTTTCGCTTGCGGTGTAGTTGTCCCTTTTCCTCCTTGGAATTTTGGGCACCTTTGTCCTTGCTTGGACTGGCATCTTTCTCCTTATCCTTCGAGGCTTTTTCCTTGTCTGCAAATGTTTTTGCTTCCTCACCGATGCTGTTTCTGACGTTTCTGACCAGTCTCCAGTATGGTCCCGTGTCAGCATCCTGGAGGGACCCAGTGATGCCAAAGAAGCCAAAGTGGTCCTCGCACCTAGTCAGATATTGAGCAGGGTAGTATGTATACTTCTCAGCATATCTTGTCAACACAACCATGCAGCAGGATCACATTTGCTTGATAAAGTGTTCGGATTCCCATAAACCACTGTGCACAGTGCTGCATAAGGTACTTTACTGACAGTAGGTATGATGCGTTGCCCATCTTTCACAGGATCGTGACAAATTTGAGCACATTGTCAGGACTAAAAAGGCATTGCATTGCAATTGCAAAAGGCAATGGAGAGCATTATTCCATCCACATCGTTTGCCCCATAAAGTTGTTCATCCACCACAGCAATTCTTCATTTAGAAACAGTCACATAGGGCCATCCGTTACATCGAGATGCATTTGAGGATGTTTGACATAGATGGGGACATGGCTGGACATGGGTAAGATGCTCATGCACAGCAGTCCATGTTGTCTTCATATCACATCCAAATGCACAGCAGTGTATTTCGGAAGACAAGTACACTGAAACTTCCATATGTAAGGAGATCAAATGAAAGATGAAACAAAATCATGGACAAGCAGGCACCCCACCACTGAGGCAAAGGATAGTGAGTCTACATTCCTTAATGCAAAAGTCTGTGAAGAGCTCTTTAAAGGCACAGCGCCCCACATGTGGTGAATTTCTTGATAACAGTTTGCTTATAGAACAACACAAAATGTCCCTGCAATCTGCAGGCAATGACAGGTGCAACAAATGCAGAGAATCACGATTACTTTCACAGCAGTTTGCCAAAAGGCGTGACCAAACATGTTCTTGCAACTTCAGCATGCCATACACATCAATGGGCAACTTTTTGACACCACTATGCACAACACACTTGTGCTTCACCAATACAATCAGCTTGCCACGGAACATTTGATGCAGGATGGCACAATACTCTTAACATGCAATAATTCCAGTTTAGAAATACTAGTCTAGTGCACACCTTTGGGACATGGCAATAGCGCAGTGTGCTCACCTAAGAACAGTGAAAACCAATGGTGTCCCGTGCTGGATTTGGTAGTCATCATGTTCCTTGTGCACCCATAGGCCCGACTGACAAAACACAACCAAGCCATTGGTCATATCCATCTTGAATCATGCACTGCCCCTGGCTTGGGGATCGAATGGAGTGGCTTGACCGTCTTTGCACAACTGCTCCAATTTCAGATGGCCCTCATGGCCAAAGGTCCATAGGTTGATTCAGGGCCTGTCATCTCAGCAGTGTTGCTTGCACATGATTTGTCAAAGTTGGCAAACATCACCAAAGCGTGTCAGCCACCAGCATTTGCAGCAGCAACAATACCCTGATTGTTTCAACCTCTGCCATGGTTTGCTCATCAAAAGGAGAGGCACATCAACAAGCTGGGTGCCTGGGGAATTCATTAGAATACAGTTGTCAGATAAACAAAATACACAGATTGGGTCTACACTGCACACATGGCGACTGTGCAGCCTTACCACAACACCCTTACAGGCAAAGTGGGTGCCACGGAGTACTATCAAGGATGAGTCTAGCGTACTTCTGAGTACAAAGTTGCCTGTTGACTCCCGTGCACTGTCCTGTCTTCTAAGTTGGCCAAAAGGGTATTCCGCACAACTGTTGAGTCTCGCCTACATTAAGCTCCATTGTGATTGACTGGCACAGCATGTGCATGCGGCTGGGAGGTGAGGCAATGATTTTCTCCTTATGAGAAAGGAAACATAGCATACAACAGGTGGCCCCTTCCAACAACATTTCCCCCTTTCCTCTGTCTGTTTCCCTTTATCTCCTTCTTTATTCCCTTTTCCCTTTGGTTTCTTGTTCATTGTGCATAAGTTGTGCAGAAATCCCAAAGAGAAATCATTGCACATTATGGAAACAACATGCATTAGCGAGTCCTGATGCACAAATAATTTGCTGATATATGCAAAAGCATGACACCGCACTATTTGTTTGAGAATGTCTGTTCAATTCACCTCTGCCAGGAAATCAAGAGTAAGCCACGAGAAGCAAGAGGTTAGGTATCCAAGTCCTCCCTAGCAAGTTGCAACTGGCAAATTCTGCAAAAGAATGACAATCTAAGGATATTCTGCAGGAGTTCAAGGGTTCAAGAACATCTATTTATTAAAAAAGGCCTGCATCTCACCTGTTCTCGTTGCCCTGGGGGTGTGGTGAACATTAATCTTGGAACATATGGGTTGGGTTGAATTTATCTCAAGAAAAGTGCACACGACACTGTGTTGAACATTGTCGAGATGTGTGTCATTGTGATGACCGCAAGCATACACTCTTTCCCTCATCATTTCATTCAAATGACACTGCTTATAGAAGTGTGATTATTTTACTTCTCAATGATCTTGCTATATATTCTGCATTATTGATAGCAACACTACTAACAGCAATCATTCAGTCAATCATTTGCCCCAACCAACAACGCAGCTGAATATGCGCACATCTCTCTGTGCCTCACCTTCTGGGGGCTGGGCCTCAGCTTCTCGGGCACTGCAGAAATAGGGATGACAGCATTGAAGGCGCCAAGCACCAGCAGTGCAATGTGGTCTCGCCCAACACTCATGACGCTCCCAACTGCAACACCAACAGAAGAATTAAAGGGCATCCAACTAGTGTTGCAGTCATTTTGCTGCAAATTGTGAGCACCATAGTAATCTGTGTGCCCTAACATCAAGCCAAAATGCAACCATACAGTTTTAGCACAGAGTTTACAGTGTTGATGTTGAGTCGCATTATTTTATCTGTGTCGCTGGTCTGTTCAAAGTTGACTGCTGAAGTGAATTTGGGTACTTCGTTTGCAAAGACACCAAAATACTAATAGATACAAAATGCATTATTGCATGTTGTAAATTTAGCTAGTCATACAAAAGCCCAGAGTGCATAAGACGATTGTTTGTAACACTTTGATACCTGGAATCACTGCTCATTTACTCACACTGCTCAGTATGCAGTGCAGCAGTACAACATACACTCTTGCAACAGTGCCGGACAGTTTACAGGTTCATCGATTCCAATTCATGTATTATGCTTGAGAGAACTTGTGTGCATTTCCCACCTGCTGGTTTTGTGGGGTGTCACAGCTCAAGAAAAATCTCTTCCAGAGTTGCAGTTGAGGTTTCTTGTTCCACAGTACTGCAAACACCATGACCGTTGCCGATGCAAAAACACTGTAACATAAGGAATCAAAATTTGCCTGATTCAAGTCCATCCCTTACACAAGTGTCTTAGAAGTTCCAAGGGCATCGGATTCCCAGCACACAAAATCGGTGTTCAAAATCTGAAGCATGCGAAATTCGAAGATCGACCCACCTATCTTGGTGCCAGGCTCTGGTCTGAACACAAGGCACTCAGCTTCGGCATGCACCCGAAGAAGGGGAAAGTAGTCATGGACCAACGCCTGCATCACAGCACCATAGGTCACACAGCTGTCACTCATCTGGGACACATCTGTCACATTCGTCACTCATCTTCAACTCAATGGTTACACATGTGGCATTCACCTGTGATGCATCTGCCACTGCTCTGCACCTGGGCTGAACATCTTCTTCGCTCAGGGGGGGGGAGCATCAAATGGCCATGACGCATATCATCTTTTTTTTCAGAACTCTCAAGGATTCTTACTGTTTGCAACATTCAGAGCATCGCAATATTGTGTTGCAGTAACTTTGGACACAACTATTGAGGTCATGCCTAGGCACAAATGAGAAAAAAAGGACAACATATGTGTCCCAAAGTGCTCACTTAAACTGTAATCTTCAGAAGGGACCCAATTCCACTTGCAATGTTTGAACTCTCGTGATATTCAGCAACACTGTTATCCACATCATTTTCCATTTACACTGCATCCATTTCCGAACTTATGCCTAATGCACAGTGGAGGTAGCAATTGTTGTACTGCTCCCTGCCTGCACAACGCACATGGCGGGCAGGGCAACTGGCTTTTTTGGAAGCACGGTGGGGTTGGTCTTTCATTCCGACATGGTACAAGTGCATAACAGATCGCGTGCTGCCCCTGGACTAATCATAAAGCAAACGACACAATCATGGCACATGCCACTGTTGAAATCAGATATTGAGACAGAGTCATATTTGCAGAATTTTCCATAACCTGGCAATGATGAGACTGCTGCAAGTGATGCACACTGTGTTGGGTTTTCCTGCTGCATTCAAGACTCTGCATAATCTTTTGCAGCATGGAAAAGAGCTTCACCTTCCTCTCTTCCTTATGAAGCAGTGCCAACATGTTTTGACAGGCTTCTACTTTGTTTACCAACAAATCCTCTCAACATGATGGACAAGAAGGAAACAATATGTCCATTGCGGCAACGTGAACAAACACGGTGGTCATGACACCAGTCCCAACTTGATGAAGATCAAAGTAAACATCAGTTTCCTAACAATCAGCAAGGACATCACAGTGCTTGGCCAAAGACCATCCTGGGCGCCATTGCACAAGAGCACACAATGTACACAAGTCCTCAGAACATAACGGCTGCAGCACATGTCGACAGTGGAACTCAGATGATCAGACAGCATCAAAATTCTGCCCATCTGCAAGGAACTGATGATGACAAACAAAGAGAACAACGAAACAAGGGGAGAAGAAGGAAAGTGATATGGCTGTGCAAGCACACATACCAGCTGCGACAGCAACTTCTCATTGGAGTATGAGAGCATCACCCCGCCCATGTGCAGCGAGTGCCTGCAGAAAACATTAAAATAAACACGGGACGTGTACAAAAATAAGCACCAATCAAAACAATCCACTTAGTGTAATTTAATTGACTAAGTGAGTGAAATGGCAGTGAGACTGTCAATCCTCTGGTCGCATTTGTCAAGACAGGTTAAAGCACTGCCCTTCCTTTCTCTCTTGACGCCAATGGCATGCAGTTCCCAAGCGCACGCTTGCCAAGCGTTGGTTCCAGAGTGCGCATGAACGACTCACACAGCCCATCCACTCTGGATGCTGATGACCGGACGGCTGCATGCTTTCCCTGCTCCACTGCTGCGCTGCTTGCGGAAAACTAACTTACACCTTCTCAACTGCCCGACAGCGGTTCTTACAATCATGCTCCCTGTGCTGGCGATGCAGGGCGCTTGCAATCAATTTTGGGGCCCTGCCGCCGGTTCCTTTCCCTGGGGGGCGCAATGCGCACCTCAGCAGCGTGTCGTTGAGTCGCGCCCGCACAAACCCCAGCGCGCTGTCGGCATCGCTGGGCGGCATGTCGAATGCGAACGTGGCCACCACCCTGTGGCAGTGGCTCACATCCGCCGCCATTGCTGCACAGCTCGGACAGTCAACCCGGGGTCAACGGCGAGCGCGCTCCAGGGTGCACACCCTTCCCCGACCCTGTTCTGTTTTTGCCGTCAACCGTGAGCAGCTTTCGAGGGCGGCGGGCGGAGGTGATGGCAGCTGTGACGCGCGATGCGCGAACCGGTCGTCAGTAACGCGTAGCCTGAAGTGACGGGTAACACAACTCCCTCGACACAACCTGGAATGTTTCGCGCAACCCGTTTCCGAGGAGGGCGTTGTAACGGCAGTCTTGACGCGTTACCACGCCTTGCTAATGACCATTGTGCCAGTTTTCGTTTTAAACTGTAAATTGGAAACCGTGCTTCTCCAGTAGGTCAGGGACATGGTCCACAGTGCTGTGGACCAAGTGCTAGCAATGTAGTGGATAAATGAGGTGCGTCTTTTCAACCACCAATGGACGGGTAAAGCAGATATCCCTGATACTTCTGTGGTGGCTAAGGCTGGGCTGGGACGTAGCAAAACTGCCATGTGGATTAGCGTATGGCATGTTTCGGTTTCAAGAGATCGGAATATTCCATGATATGTTGTCAACTTACCGTATATGCACTTGTCTGACGGTGCTACTCGCCATTGTCATTGATTTCCAACTGAAGTCGTCCACAGTGAAAGTATACTTGGGCCATATTCCGAGAGCGCTTGCTCTGCTTTCTTCCAGTTTGTACTTTTCGGTGAGTAGATCTGCATTTCTGTATCTGTTGGCTACAGCTTCGCAATTGGTTCAAGTATCTGCGATTCCGGCAATTCGGAATTTCAGCCAGAGATCCTTTGTTGCCGGGCATTGATATTGGCCACTCTTGCTCGTGTTCTGATTATTCTGAGTTGCTTCTTTCACATCTGTGTTCGCCTGGTCCCCAATGTATGCACTGCGCGTTCTCTTAAGAGTCATCTCTCAATAGCAAGCTTGTTATGGATTGCCACAGTGTCCTATGCTCTCACCCTGGCTTTGGAAATTCCTAAATAGTGTGCATATTTGTTTCGATCTCCAAACCGTCCTCCGCCATACAGTGCCGGACATGTACGTACCGAGGCAGCATGCTGTACGGGCGTTTTGGCCTCGGGGTCGATCTGCACAAGCAAGCACGTCACGTTTACAGTGTACGGATTACTGCGCACCGAAGGATTTGGCACTTCAGCCGCGAAAAACGCCATAACTTCCCAGAGGATTCTTGCACAGACGGCTAGATATCGATAACGTGTCGCGTTTTGAAATCGGTTCCGTAACACGGTGCAATGTGATAATGGTACAATGTTGAAATACCATATACATCGGGGTTGGGCATCCTCCACTGCTCCATACGATTTGAACTTGGGCCGCAACTTTACCACTGCATTTGAGATGACCTGGCTAACTTTAATGTTGCCTGGGCGTTTCCAGAACGTGTCATATCACAGTCTTTTTCCGCATGATGGATGGCAGGTTGGAACAAACCCCCGTGGTCAATCGCAAACTGCAAACCGATTTGCTTGCCCAACAAGGGTTAAATTAGATTGCTTCTTCACTTCAAGGGAAGAATCTTGCACACCACGAATGAGAGAAAAACATATTTCATGGTGAGGTGGCCGATTTCTTTTCATCTGAGAAGGTTCCATGCACCTTTCTGAGGCTGTGAATACTCTGTACCTGGATTACCAGTACATTACAGTGTACAGACCAATTGGGCGTTGTGTCATGTGAGCGACAGTGGGTTTAGTGAGTTGGTGCGTGCGAGACGACGGGCATGTGACAATGTGAATATGTCGTGTGTTGGAGAATGGCTAACGCCAATTCTGCAATTGACTGGCATGTGTGATGGGCAACATTCATGATGGAAATCGGTTCTCAGACAGGCGATGACCTGGGGCACTCAAAAAGAACATGAGATGTCTCAGGGCTTCTCTTGGTGGTGTCGTAGATTTACAATCTGAAGGCCGACACGTGGTAGTAAATAGACATCCGTGCGTACCGAACTTTCCACATAACGTACCGAAATGTCCCTGATGGAATCCAAGCTTAAGCTGGCCCGCGTTCTGGCCTGTATCGTGCTGGCCGCCCCGCAGTGGAAATCCGAAAGCCTATTATGCACCGATAAAGCGTATTTTTGATCAGGGTTCAGTTCTTTCTGATCATTTGAACGCAGGCAATGCTCCTCAATACAATGCCGACCCATCTGTAGGTCCCGAAAATCCAGACCGCTGCATGTCGTACCCAAGTATAGTAAAGGGTATGATGAAGTGTGGCATGGTAAGGACCAAGCAAGCTCACTATTTCATGCTCAGGGAGGGGTCTGCACGTGTTCTGACGTGGCTGTCCTTTTCTTTCAACAACCAATCTTCCCACATTGCGATTGGGAGTTCAAATTACTACATGTGGGTTGAAACGCACGATAGCAGGACTTCAAGCAACTCTTGGCTTGAGCGTGTGTGAAGCGGTGACTACTGGCTACAAAAATTGCCTCTTGGCAGTGTAGATTATGCTATACTCAACAATGCCAAATGAAGAGGGGTCATCCTGCGCATCGCTGAACCAAAGGGGAATATTGATTGGAACATTGTGGCGAAACTCGATCCAACGAAAACCTACATAGGTGCAACGCAATGGAATTGCGCTACCATGCGGCACCCTCGGTGTGCGCGCCAACACACGTCCGGTGGCCAGCAACCGAAGTTGAGCCCATAGCGGAAGGCTGTTTTGTCGGGAACTCCTTCTGAGGGCTGCGCATGCCTTCGAACAGGAGCCCACGCCAACGATGACAAGGTTCACGGGGCGGCGGGATCCCAAAATTGAGGCCTTGGGAAGCAATGCGTCCCCAGCCGCCCAGCAAACACGCCGTCGTGCTTGCCTTGGTGGACCAAGGCAACCCGCGCACCAGCCCCTTTTCTCAGCCCAACACCCCAAACACCCCAGCCGATTGCAGTCAACCCGCAGTCTCACACTCCGGCCCCCGCCTGAATTACTCATGCCCCTCCAGCCGTCATTCTCCAGGTCCATCCGCACGGCTGCGAAGGTGCCGCCGACAAGCCGGAAGCCGCGCAGGCCCCAGGTCCGTCTCCAGACCTTGCTTAGACGCTGGTTTGTCATCCCCACACACCCACCCTCTCCCAGCATATCACCCCACTGCAGTCGCGGGCAATGTCAAGAAAGTCGTCCTCGCCAGCAGGAGGGGTTTCAGGAGTTCAGTCGCCTGCCGGTGCCCAGCCTGGTCCCGTCCCGGCTCGCCGGGAGGCGGGATCGCCGGTATGGCGGGCGCGCCCTCCGTGTGGGGCCGCATCCGCGCGCCGGAGGCGTCGGCCAGCAAGGCGCCCGTGGCGCCCGAAGACGCGTGCCGGATCTGCCTGGACAGCGTGCCGGCGTCGGTGCGCTTCCGGCCGTGCGGCCATAGGATGTGCTACAGCTGCGTGGAGAAGAACAGGGCGCGGAACATATTCCTGGTGGGCGTGGGGTGGGGTGGGGTAGGGTGGGCGGGGCGGCAATACCTTGGCGAGGTGGGAGGGCTGATGTGTGCTGACAGGAGGTTGTTGGTGTCTCAGGCGGACAAGGGCGTGAAGTGCCCATTTTGCCGGCGATTCATCGAGGAGTACGTGGCCACGGATGGGTGAGTGCGCCTGGGGCGGGCGGATTGGGGTGGGCGGGCCCGGGATGGCGGGACACCTGTTCCAGTCAGGCATCGCGTTGGCACCCAGGGTGAGGGGACTGTGGCGTTGCGCTCGCAGGGGATCGGCAGAGGCGCTCGCCCTGCTGCAAGATGCCAACAAGGCGGCGGCCGCGGCGGCGGCGGCACGCAACCCGCTGGCCGATCAGGTGGGGCCCCTCGCTGCCGCCTCATACGACCGTTGGCTTCTGGGCGGGGTGGCGCCGGAGATTGGGCCCGGAGTGCCCCGCCGGTGGCCTGGCCCGTCCGTATGCGCGTCGATGCGGCAGGATTGCCGGCCTCTAGCGCTGGGCTGGGTGTCGTGTCGTGTGGCCAGGGGCCCGGAGCTGTCCGGGGTTTAGCCGCTCACGGCGCGTTGTTGATGAGCGATGCTGTCGCATTGATCGCAACCGGACGGTCATCGGCGAGAATTGTGCTGTGGCCGAAGGGGCGTCCCCACTGAAGGCACTAGCAGTAAGCCCCGTCGCGGGCTCGCGGTTTCAGAAGCGGCTGGAAGCCGCTGGATGCCGCAGCCCTGTTGTCCGCACCCCCTGCCCACGTCGCCAACACCTCTCGTGCATTGTGCCCTGCGCAGAAATCCCCGCGGAGTGCCCAGGACATGTGCTGGGCCTACAGCGACACCCAGTGGCGGTGCCTCCCGTGCCGCACGCTCAATCCTTACAGCGAGGAGGCATGCAGCCAGTGCTCCAGGCGGAAGCAGGACTCCATAGTGCCACCTCCACCGCCGAGGGGCAAGGTGCGTCCGCAAATGCAGCCAGCTTGCGTGTTTGTTGTTGGATTGTTGCATCAAGCGAAATGTTATTGCACATGCCGTTCTTGCCTGTGAAGCCCTTCAGTCCCTTGTGGGGGAGTTGGGAATGGGCACGGTGCACAGTTGATACGTGCCACACTGTTGCCAAGCAGTGTTGAACAGTCCTTCAGTCCAGTTGCCTCACAATTCATGGGGTGGAGCAGCAGATACCAGTTTTGTCGTGACAGCTTACTGGGTACTTGTCTTTTGGCCACTGGCCAGGAAGCTTGACATTACACAAGAGACATCACGAAACGCCACAGACAACATATAGCTGCCCGTTTGAGACCAGCTGCGTTGGGTTTTGCAACCATCGCTGATTTGAATTTCCTTGACCCTATTTGTGCCAAGATCTCTGTTGCGATGGCCCCCTTGCCCCAAACTGTCGTTCATACTGTGGTTGGGTTGTGGCAGTTTCTGGCCCCCCAGTGCTCACCCTTGCTGGTTGTCTGCACAGGATTTATCTAGATACGATACAAGCGATTTCGTTGCAGTCTGTAAGGCTCAATACCACCCGAATCTGAATGGGATCTTCCTAGAAGCTGGTGTCCCTATGAGCTGTGGCAAAGTCTCAGGTATGCCATATATAGGTTGGCAAGACGGACAGGACGTTAGCGTTGTGGGGCTGCTGTTTTTGACAAGAATGTGTGCAAATCAGCTGCAGCTAAGTTTGCCATCGGACTGTGCTGGTGCTTGGTGTTCAGTGGTGCATCGTGGTTGCCAGCATTGAAACCATTATTGGTATGTGAAAATGAACTTACAGGATGTGTCAATACGAGTTGAATCACTGCCCTTGTATCTGTCAGGTGTTGTGGGCCTTTCATTCTGTTGTCAAAACTGCACAGCGCCCTGCTCAAACACTTGCGAGATGGCAGAGGGCATTTTGTCCCATGCTTGTACCCAACATCCAAATGTAATTTGTGACATTTGTTGCTGACACTGGTGGATGAGCTGTCCACCCCAGGTACGGAGGAGAGCATTGCATTAGCCCTCAGAAAGGGAGGCCACTTGAAGCTGGTACACGCTATAAATTCGATTGCAGGTACGGCAACCCTGCACTTATTTCCTGTGGGAAGTCTCCAAAGTCATGGATGCTCATACGTGGTATTGATATAGTTGTTACCAATACTGTAGTGGTGGAAAAAGTGGGTGGCCAAAGCGGCGAGTGCTGTGCTGCTTTCACAACCGGCTTCCCACAACACCACTTACTGCTACAGGAGTCTGGGGCTGTAACAGTCACCAGCAAACGAAAGCAGTCCTGTTGCAAGACAGTCAAGATGCCTCATTAGCAGGGAACCTTGCTGATTTTGAGATGCCCTTACTGCCTGGTGGCTTCCCTGAGTAGTCAAATGTGCTGCAGCACTCATCGTTTCAGTAAGAGAGTGTATGATTGACTGTGACTGAGTTTGTTTCAGCAGGAACATGATGCCCTTTGTGGGGCCATTGTGTGTGCCTGACCAGTTGTCAACAGTGCGGCATGTTCAATGGGGTCCCCTGTATGTTCTGCCAACATCTACGAGTGCTGCATATCCTGTTATGCTTGTGACTTGCCAGGTGGTGGACACATAAAGGAACTCTCTCGTCATTTCTTTGGAAACTATACCCTTCAAGACCTGTTAGAAGCATGTGAAAAGATCCGGGAAGTTGCAAGGCAGGGAAGCAAGGTATGGCTGGACTCTGCAAGCGCTCAATCACCACGATGCTCTGTTAACTGTATTCATTCGGTTTCAACTTTCAGTTGTGGTACTTAAGGCCCAGGTGTGCACGATCCAAAGTTCCTCTCCATATCCAGCCTCATGCATGTGTGTGGAGATTGGAGCTGTCCCCATGCCCGTTGTTGCCATTAGACTCTCGTTCACTGTGTGAATGTGGAGAAAGTACGTTGTGATATGAGCTCATGATTTGCTTGTCTGCCAATTTTTGATTCAGTATGGTCTTGACCAAGATCTTGTCGACGGCTTATTGAGAAATGGAGGATCATTTGGTATGTGTGGTGTTGTCACGACAGATGTGCTATGTGATCTGCTTGGTTGTTTAGAAACTGTTGGACCAGCATTCATGGACACTCGCTTGCCTGCTGCGTGGATGTCTGCTGCACAGAGCTGCATGGGATTTTAACAACAGCACCAGCCACTGACAAGGAGCCTGCCTTATTGTGCAACAGCAAACAACCCCCATTGCTGCTTTACCACCAGAGATGCTGCTGTTCTTGCAAGTTGTTGAGATGTCTTGTACCTTGTGTCACTGTGGAAGCAGTTACAGTTTCTGCACATACAAATAGACCACCCTGTGGTTATGTGACAGTCATTGTAGGACCATGTCTCACACTGTTAGCTCTGCTTTCTCCCGCGGCAGGTGTTTTATATTGTGAGGTGTTGGATGGCCTAGCTGAGAGTGTGATGCATCCACAAGCTGGTTATGTCGTTCAAAAGGTGGTGTCATTATGCACATTAGAGGAGCTGCTTGGCGTGTTTGCCCGCATGCTGCCGCATGCTCAAGACATCACCTGCGACCCGAAAGGAGCACATGTGATGCTGAGAATGGTGGAGAAGTTGGTGAGCGGCTGGCTTGCTTTATGCCCACCAATTTGCCTCCTTTGGATCCATTGTGTTTTTCATGGCTCAGTGTCCCTTGCGGCGATGTCATGTGTGCTTATGTGACTTCTGCATCATTCATAAGACCATCGAATAGGTCACAGATTCGAGATTTGAGTCACAGATTAGGTTGGCCTCAAGAGCATGATACATTCCTGAATGTACAGTTATTCCCACTGTTGCACACGCGACAGTGCTTGCCTTTTGTCATTGTATCTTGAGCGCGGTGATGGCTATCATGGCTGCGGCAAGGGCTGTGATGTGTAGCAGACCCCAGACGTGTTGCTGCAGATTCCTGTGCTGTTCAGGTCTTTCAGAGCTGAACATGGGGCTGCCTGTTTTGCAGAATATCTACTGCGAAGGAGATGAGAATGGTAATGCTCAGTCTGCCCTCAACAAACTGTGTGGCTTCTTCTATCAGGATCCTCTCTGGTGCACGAATATAGCGAACACTTTGCTTGGTAAGTTGCTACCACCACCACGAGTCAGGTATTGCTCCAGCAAGGACTGGATTGTTTGAAGTTCCAGCCTGGTCACACTTGGATAGAATGCAAGTGTTGGGTCGTTGTCGTGTCCAAAGTCCATGCTTTCCAACCACAGGGCACTGCTGTCAAGTGGATGATGGCACTAGTGTGCCATTCACAGGGATTGACACGTCAATGAGCAGAAGCGTCCTCATCTCCCAAAGAACATACTCGTTGCAAGGACTGGATGCTTGATGACCTGATCGTTGGTGACCTCGCTTCTTAATTGCGCAAACGAGTAAAGGCTATGATTATGTCTGTTGTTCTGCTTGGAATTATAGAATTTGAGGAGCTGTTTGGGGGTGACAGCGATCGTTGAACCCATTAGACTAGTTATTACATGTTTTGTGGTGCCTTCGTGGCTTTTGCTTGGCTGTTGTGTTCGGGAATGGCTGCATGAACGAGAATCATCTCCTGTAATGCAGTGATTCTCACGCTGACATCAGCATTGTTCTTGCCAGGTTCCAAGGTCTTAATCGAGTCGCTCTGCGGTGCACTTCCGAAATATAATGGTTTGAGGGTAAGCTGAGAACGTGCTGTCACATGGAAGGAACCTGACAGCGTGCACGACGACATTGGCACTGAGGCAGAATGCTGATGCCATGACAGAAAAACTGCATAGTGCAGCTGTGCAGGGTGGGACTGCAGCTTCTTAACCAAGGGACTGCTGTCAAACATAGGCCCATGCACTTTGAACCTCTCATATCTGAAAACAGTGCTCACTGGAGTGATGTCCACTGGGAGCTTTCAGCCTCAAGGCACCCTCAATTTGCTGTTTGCCGTTGCTTCCATCTGTGGAGCGACCATGGATGTCAATCTGGCGACAGGCCACAGCATGTTCCACAGAAACATTGTGTGCTGTGCTCCAAGTGTTGAGGTACCTCGATGTTTTGTTGTGTTCTGTGGGCTGTTATATGTAGTTTGGTGCACATGCAGCTATTTTGGCTTGATTTCTTTGCGAACCCAGTTTCATCGTGTTTGGTGCTTTTGACAGGTTGGGTCTCTACTGGCATCTGTAGCAGGCGACCTGGTGTACAATCAATTTGGCCTGAATACAATTATGGAACTTCTCTCACTGGAGAAGCCCTCTGCAAGGTGCGAAAGGTTGTGTTTCTGGGCTAGTGATGCAAAGTGTGACCTTCAGAAGACTGTGTGCTTGGAAGATGACTAAACTGCCTATGTTGAAGAATCTGTGCTTTGCATATGGACCCGTGGTGCTGTTCTGTTGCAATTGGTTTTGTTTTGTGCACCAGTTCCTGCAAGCTTTCGGTGCGCAGGTTCTTGCTTTTCACTTCCCCTGCTGCTGCTTCTGGACCTTGGCTTCAGTTGCTGCACTTTGTCAGAAACTACGGACACGCACCAGTACATATTTGATATACTTGAGATTCTGTCTGCACCATCTTCATCTCACACTGTTGTCTGTTGTCACTGTTTTTCTGTGCAGTGACATCTTGAGGGATCTGGTCTGCAGCATAGCACTTTCCTTGCAAGGGAGCTTTGGAATGCATGCAGTAAGTGTGCCTTTGTTGCTGTGGCTACAGAGTATTAGGTAGAGATTACAGGACATACTGTTGGGCCTACTGTGCCTACTGCGTGTATTGGTTGGATGTGTACAGTCCCTACACCAAAATGGAGGGTAAATGTTGGCCTATTGTAGCACTGCTTTGGTGTTCACTCCATCCAAATCTCAGGTTCTGGCATGCACCTCCCTGGCGGTTTTGTTTGGCTGATAAATACCCCTCTCTAGTGAATTTTGTCTTCCAGTTCTACAGCTGGAGTTGCACTCAACTTTGCCACTGCCAGGGCACGACAGAATTGTTCACTATCTGTATCTTGTTATTCCAGGCCAACGAGACCTTGCCTACCCAGACGTTAGTGAGCTTGCTCATAGAACGACTTACTGAGGAAGGAGAGAAAGACTGGGTGCTTGATATTGTTAAGGAGTTAATTTCCAAAGGTATGTTTTATAGGGTATGTCGTCTTGGTGGTCTAAGCCATAGATCGGACATCAAAGCAGATTGAATATCCTGTACAGGGGGCATATTTGGTGAACCGCCATGAGGGTTATTTGGCTCTGTATTGCTCACTTCGTCATGGACATATCTGCACAAGGCAAGATGTGGCTGTTGTTGATTTTGGAAGATAAGGAATGCCTTGTTCGGCAGTTGAGTAGTGTGAATAGCCCACCTGGGTTGCTTGGCCTCGTCTACCGAGTCTACCTAATCCACGTGGCTGCCCTTCTCATGCTGCCCACTTGATGTTCATGGAAGAGCGCTGGACCCGTACAGTTCAGCTGGCTTGAACATGAACCTGTGAAGCTGCCTGTGCTGGAGCTCCTCCTTGAGACAGCAGTTGTCTCTGAAATAGTCCGTGTGGCTTCAGGGGACGTCCTCATGAACTCTGGTAAGGGCTTCAATCTGCTGTCTGCGGCTCTGGCCTCGGAGGCACTGCCCGTTCAAGCTGTGGACGAAGGCCTTACCAACTTAGAGACCAGGGGATGCAACGTCGTGGAGCTGGAAGACACTCTGGAGTACTTGCGGGTACAGAGGCCGCCCTGCCAGAACCCACGTGGGCTTCCCTCCTCAGTGCTGACGCCAATACTGAAGAGCCGCGTGGAGTGCGGGTTCCAAATTCCACCACCGCCACCACCACCCCCCAGGGAAGTGGTCACCCCAAGAAATCCAGTCGGGGAGGGCGTGAGAGGACCAAGCAGTCCTATCGGCGAGGACACGCAAGGCCACACCAAACAATCTGTTGGGCTCCAGGCCCAAGACAGCTGGACGGATAATGGTTATCCAAAGGGGCTGCCCACTCCACCAGCTCCGACTCCCTATGAGGAGGAGTCCCTGGGGAGCAACAGAGTGTGCTATCAGCTCCCGGACAACCTGTGCAGCCCTGCTGGGTCGGTTGAGAGCGACACTGAGTCTGCACCTGCCAAGCTGGGCAGCCTCGCCATCAGCAGCGAAGTGAACAACCTGTGCACGCCACTTGACCGCCTCTTGGGTCCCGGGTTTTCTACGGGAAGGAGGGAGCTGGGGAGCACAGCGCCAGAAACATCGAAGCCATGGGTCGACAATTACTCATCGAATGCTGGCGTGCGTTTGCAGTCCGTGCCCGAGGAACAGCAGACTAACGAAATTTCATGGAGTGGCCAGAACCCGTTTTCTCAGGTGAGATTGGGTCCTTTAGGTACAACAGTGTGCTGCACGATCTGGAGCTATGCTTGTCACGTTGGTGTAGCACCTTAAATGTGCCCTTCTGCACCATTGCTTTTTCCTTCTGTCCGTGTATAGAAGCAATAGGAAATCCGCACTTTGGACGTGCGACCAGTGCGCAGGGTGTTCGGTGTTCGGATGCCAGTTCAGAGGGGAATCCCGGAGGGGAAAGGCGTTTGGAAATGATCACAGGGATTTGCAGCTGCCCTTGAAGTTGTTCATTGCAATGTGTTGCTATGTTATGGTGTGGTGTCGAAGTCTTTCCAATGTTGTCGCTTTTTGGAACAGGGCCTACTTCATCAGCGCTTTCATTGTTGATGCCCCCTGTGTGTGCTGCTTGTCTAAGGGTGATCAGTGGTCGTGGAGCTGCCGAAACTGCTCTTACCAGCACCAGGGCGTCGAGGCGGAGCTGTTGCTTTGTGCAAACTGCTTCGCGTTGAAGGGCAGCGTGCCGAACTCTGCAGTGTAGCGCTGTCTGGAACATGTTGCTGCGGGGTCCGGATAGTCTCTTGACATATGACAACATTCTCAGGAATGAGGGTGATCCTGCAGGTCGATTGATTGGCGGCTGCTAGCAAATGGAGCTGGAATTCTCCACCTTTTCAACCCTTTGGGGTCGGGGATGGAGCTGCAGTTCCACAGAATAATTGTTATGCTCATGCGCTGGACAACTTGTGTAAGAGTTGTTATCCTGCCGTCCCCGTCTAGGAACTGTTCGGCACACTGCAAAATGGCATACGATTTAAGCCATCTTTGCAGAAATGATGAACAAGATGAGCTGTATTTACTACAATGAAAAGAAGTGGTTTGACAGCTGAAAAGGGGAAAACCAAAGTGCAGCAGGAAAGAAAAACATGTGCATCCCATTATTCAACTTGGGAGATATGTTAAAAGAATGGTTATTCACTCAGGGCCAATAGTTTAGTAATAGTACAATTGGAAAGCAAGGAAAATGAGAGAAATGCACAGCTCCCGTGTGGTGACATTCCGCAGCACCTGTTTGAGCCGCGGGGCATCCATGTTACACCATCAACCAGGCCGCATACCACACACTGGGTACCCCAGCGTCCGTTGTGTGACCGTGAGGGGTTACCCCGGAAACCGCTGTGTGACCGGAAAGCGTGATCACCGGGCCCGCAAGTTGTGGTCCTTCTGTGTTGCACCAAAGCTGCGGGTCGCAAACTATTGGCCCACTACCCGCTTGCCCGTGAAGCCGACCAAATGGCGACCAAAACGAACGAAGGCACGCTCCCATTGGAGTGGTGGTGCAGCACCCTCTGCACCGAGGTAGCAAGGACGGGCGCAAGCCTAGAGACATTCGGCACTGGCCTTTTGCACGAAGGCGATCGGAAATGGCGAGTGAGGGTAGTCATCCGCCGAATGGCCCCGCCTGATACGGTTGCTTCTGTAGATGAGTTAGATGTATTTGATTACCCTAAATGGGTCTGAGTTGGGTAAACTGGCCCGGGGGTGGTTACAAAGGACATGGGACAATGAACGGAGCAATTAAAAACAATTTTGTATAATGTACAAATGTAGTAACCGCCCGGGGATTCCGACTCCCCGTTTCATCCGACCGTGCGCCCGAGGGAGCTTCCAAGCTCCCGCATCATTGGTTTCGGAGCACGGAGCGTTCGAGCGGCGAGAACGCACCGGCCGACAGCCGGTATGGCGAGTGGGGATCCTCGCCCGGAGTTTGGGAATCCGGGGGACCAATCGGCCGGGCAATTGGTGCTGTGGTGTAAACTACAGGGGGTAATTAATGTTTCTCTATATGGGAGCTGGGAAGTGGAGTGTACAGTGATTATGGTATCTCAGGTGAAAGTAGACTCTGTTTGGAGTCCATAGGTTTTTGAACCACCCTAATTGGCTTAGCGGTTGAGGAGATATGGTTAGTTGAATATCTAGTACTTTAGGGCCCTCTCCTGGACCGTATTGGGGGATGAGATACTATCGCTGGACATGATACGATACGGTGCGCTGCATTGTCACGTGACACGCACTGGTGGCCGCCCCAAAAGGGTGACCAC